TCTGAGCAAGGGCTGTAAAGTAGTCGATTTTTTTTCTTCAGTTCATCGGCTCTGGCGATGGCGGCCTCATATTCTGCCGAAAGAAGAGAAATAACGTCTGAAAGTATGGGAGAGGTAGCGGAAGGGGCAGCTTGACAACCAGAAGAAGGAGATGGACGGCATGGCAAGTCATCCACACGGGCCACACGGCGAGAATCGGAATGAGGGTCCACTATCTTCGAGGAGACAGAGAGAGGGAGTGGGAGAGACGGAACTGCGTGCTTCCGATTTCTGACGTAGCCTTGATCACTCAGTAAGCGGTAGATCAATGAAGGAAACGGAAGAGAGTAGGCAGTAGACTTAGAGTCGGCTTCGGCTACGATCTCTTCAAAGATAAATTGCGCGAGATCACATGGGATTCCACTGCCAATGTAGTACAGTAGAAGCCCCCTTCTTCGAGACAGAGTACCGTGGTGAGCGGTGGGGAACCAATTTGTAGTTCCAATGCCGAATAAGAGCCGGTACTTCATAGTAAGATCAGTCGTCTGGAGAGGCCATGTGCTCAGCTTGCCTCCAGTAAGGGTGGGTATCAAGTCAGAATCATCAACTGTCGGAGCCACAGTTCCAACTGTTGACAGATCAAAGAGAGAGGCAATACGAGTAGGATTGAACTCGTAGACTCGATTAAACACATAAACCCGTTCGTAAAAACAACTGCGACTATCGGAGACTCCACTAGTTAGGTTGGCATAAAAATCATGAATCACTTGACTTTCAAAGTGAGAAAATCAAGTCACAGTAGCAAGAACACCAGCACGACGAAGTAGATCAGAAATATCAAAAGCATCAAACGACGGACCTAAGGGACGTTCGGAGACAAAAGGTCGTCGACTTACCAGACGCCATCGGATTTGATTCGCTCGGAGAAAGAACCGAGAATTAAAGGCATCGACGGCAGATATAGGCACCACGGGATCGGGTGCAGAGTCATCAGAGGTGGTGGGTTGAGCGGAAGACGAGGCAGAGTGAGTAGCACGTCGACGGGAGCGACGGAGCGGCGGTGGTGTGGTGGCAGGGCCCTTGCCTTTGTTGACCGACGAGGATGGCGGCGGTGGGGGTGAAGCCGGTGCGGTGGTTGACGACGGCGGCGATGTCGGTTCAACTGGTGGTGGAGACGATTGGAAAGCCGGCGGGTGTGGCAGCGGAGAAGAGGGCGGAGAGTAGGTGAAGGGTGACGGCGGCGTCACTGGCGGCGACGGTGGCGTCACTGGCGGCGACGGCGGCGTCACTGGCGGCGACGGTGGTGGTGAAACCCTAGGGGCCACAACCACTGGCAGATTGCCAAAATTTTCAGCGGAAGCGGCCGTGAGAAGGAGTGGGGGCTCCCAATATGCGAGGGGGACGGCGTCACACGGCTCCTCGAGGGCAGATCGGCGACCGGAGCGGCGAGGCGGCAGTGGGTCCGTCGGAGACGTGGTCGCTGGTCGAGAGGGTCGTCGTTTAGACGAAGAAGACGATCCCCTGGTGTTCTTTCGTTTCCCCATGAAGATGTTCCTTGATTTCCTTCGATTTGGTGGAAATTTTGGGAAGTTTTGCTGCAAACAAATAAGACGGAGCAACAAGGCAGTAGGGAAGAAGAAGAAAGGAAATTTGGGGAGAAAAAAAAAACTTGAAAAAAAGGATTAAGCAGAGATGACTGTTGGCCTTCTTATGGGTATTTTAGCAATTAGGAAAAATATAGTGAAAAAGTTGCAAATATTATTCTGCCAACAATGAGAGCAGTTAATGAAAACCAAAGTCAGATATAGCAACTCTCAAACTTCACATATGAAGCCCAACACAGTTCAAGAAAACATCGAGAAGAAAAAAAATGCTCAGAAAAGTGGGTGACTTCAAAAAAATGATTGCCGCCAAAACATATACGAACCCACCCCGTTTTTTTTTTTTTTTTTTTTTTTTTTTTTTTTTTTTAATATATATATATGCCTAATATGCAGAATTAAATTACTATGACGAAAAAAAATAAACGTGAGAGAACAAAAAGGAATATGAGTGAGTAAACACGAGTGAATAGGATACTATTAGGACTATCAAACCCATGGGGTTTATCTTCAATTTTAACAAAAAGCAAGCTCCAAAATACAAACTAACGAGACTAACAATAAATTTATTACCCTCAAATCAAGCACAAAAACGCTCTTATTAGGTAGCATACACACCCTACTAATGGTAGCTTTTTCATGAAGAGCAGAGCAATTTAATTAGTGAGATAGGTGTGGTCGTGCAATGTGTAATCCCCTGGGCTTTCTAATTGAGTCGTGTAGTGAGTGTTCGGTCATGAGGTTTACCGGCTCGACTCAAAAAGGCTTCGAACTATTCACTGACCATATAACGGATTTACAATGGTCGTGCAATGTGTAGTCCCCTGGGCTTTCTATTTGAGCCTTGTAGGAGCTTTCGGCCACGTGATTTACTGACTCAACTCAAAAAGGCTTCGAATTATTCACAGACCAATTTATTATATATATAGTTAAACAAAAATTCAAGATTGGCTTTCACTCATTTGGAGAGGCAGCTTTTCCTTATGAAAGTGTTAAACCATGACGAGATTGTGAGGAGTAGTAAATAAACTAAAATCTCTATAGCTATCATTCGGGGATTGATGAAGTTTTACCTCACAAAGTTCGAAAGTACAGATAGTATCCAATACACAAGAGTTTTCATCACATGCAGCATGACTAATGCAAAACTTAGATGAATAAAATGCAGTGTGTGTGATGTGTCCATAAAAACCTAAAAGTTGCAAGTCTGGACACAGACTGTTGCAACAGTTTATGCAACTGCACAGGTCAAACAATACAGATTCCAAGCGAATTTCGCAAGGAATCGAACCTATGTGCATCAAGGGGTTTAGTAAAGATGTCAGCAAGTTGTTTTTCTGTTGTGACATACTCTAATGAGACAGTTCCTTCCTCTACCAGATTTCTAATGAAGTGGTACCGGATTTCAATATGCTTAGTTCGAGAGTGCTGTACTGGATTCTTGGAAATATTAATTGCACTCATATTGTCACAATAAATATGCAATAAATCTTGACTAATACCATAATCACATACCATTTGTTTCATCCATAAGAGTTGGGCACAACAACTACCTGCGGCGATATATTCCGATTCGGCAGTGGAAAGCGAGATACTATTCTGTTTTTTGCTGTACCAGGACACGAGATTGTTACCGAGATAGAAGCATCCTCCAGTTGTGCTTTTTCGATCATCTGCATCACCTGCCCAATTAGCATCGCTAAAGCCTGCAAGTGTTGTGTTAGTATCCATAGAATACCAAATACCGAAATCAATTGTTCCACTTACGTAGCGAATGATTCGTTTTACAGCACTAAGGTGGCATTCCTTGGGATTGGATTGATACCTGGCACAAACTCCAACACTATAGCATATATCTGGTCGGCTAGAAGTAAGATATAAAAGACTACCTGTCATGCTTCGATAAAGTGTGGGATCTACAGCTGTTGCATCCAACTGTCGCGACAGTTTGTCGTTCGTTCCCATAGGAGTTCTAACAGTTTTTGCAGATTCCAAACCAAAACGTTTGACAAGGTTTTTTGCATACTTGGATTGAGTTATGAAAATTCCATCACTCATTTGTTTAACTTGAAGACCTAAAAAATACGTGAGTTCCCCAACCATGCTCATTTCAAATTCACTAGACATTTGTTTAACAAATTCTTCGATTTTTGTTTGCGAGGTAGATCCAAAAACGATATCATCTACGTAAATTTGAGCAATCAGGATGTCTCCCTTTGATTTTTTAAAGAAAAGAGTTCGATCGACGCTACCCCTAGTGTATCCCTTGTGCGATAAAAATTCTGTAAGACGCTCATACCAAGCTCGAGGCGCTTGTTTGAGACCATACAGGGCTTTGTTTAATTTGAAAACATGCTTGGGATAATGTGGATCTTGAAATCCTTTGGGTTGTTCAACATAAACTTCTTCTTTTAAAATACCATTTAAGAAGGCGCTTTTGACATCCATTTGAAAAAGTTTGATTTTTAGAAAACAAGCAATGGCTAGGAGTAATCAAACAGATTCTAGTCTAGCAACAGGGGCAAAAGTTTCATCGAAGTCAATGCCTTCGATTTGACTATAGCCTTGAGCAACTAATCTAGATTTGTTACGAACGATATTTCCGTGTTCATCAGACTTATTTTTAAAAACCCATTTTGTACCTATTATATTCACATTGTCAGGCCTAGGGACCAAGACCCAAACGTCATTCCTAACGAATTGTTCGAGTTCCTCATGCATGGCTTGAATCCAATATTCATCTAATAAGGCTTCTTTGACGTTTTTGGGTTCTATAGTCGAAGTGAAACAAACATACCTTGCCATTTCCTTGTAATTCACCTTGGGTTTACCTCGGGTTTGAATTCCTTCATCTACCGAACCAATGACTTGATCCACTGGATGATTCTTCTTGACTCTTCTTGAGGGTTCCTCGTGAGTTTGATCATCCAATTCGAGAGGCCTGACTTCAGCTTCGTCTCCTGTTTCAGAATTGACGTCACTTTCTTCTGAAATGGTAGAGGCTGCATCAACTGTTGGAACTGTTGGTGCGACACTGGAGCTGTTTTCCGATTCCTTTGTTGGTTCCTCTTCCAGTGGTCCTGCATCATTGCTAAAATCATCAAATTGAACATATGCAGATTCCATCACAGATTTTGTTCTAAGATTAAATATTCTATACGCATGGCTATTTCGAGAGTAGCCTAAGAATATTCCTTGATCACTTCTAGCATCGAATTTCCCAAGCTGTTCTCTGTCATTCAAAATATAACAAGTACAACCAAAAGTACGAAGATAGTTGAGTTGGGGTTTTTTACCTTTCCAAATTTCATACGGAGTTTTAGTGGTACCTGGTCGAAGATAGACTCGATTTATAATATGACATGCAGTGTTAACTGCTTCTGCCCAAAAACGAGGAGCGATCTCCTTTGCATTCATCATGACCCTGGCCATCTCTTGCAGAGTGCGATTTTTGCGTTCAACCACTCCATTTTGTTGAGGTGTTTTAGGTGCGGAGAATTCATGAGATATTCCATATTTTTCACAAAAGTTAGTAAATAAGGAATTTTCAAATTCTCTCCCATGATCGCTCCTAATTCTCACGATGTTCTGCTGTTTCTCAACACTCACCTTTTTGCACAATTTTTTAAACACATCAAAAGAATCGGATTTTTCCCTAATAAATTCTACCCAAGTACATCTAGAAAAATCATCTACACACACAAATATGTACCGTTTTCCACCTATACTTTCTACTTGCATTGGTCCCATAAGGTCCATGTGTAGAAGTTCTAGGTTTCCACTGGTTCTCACATTAGCTAAGGCCCTGTGTGAACTTTTGATTTGTTTACCCATTTTGCAATCACCACAGATTTTTCCTATCTCTTTAGTGAGTTTAGGCAGCCCTCTAACATACTCACTGCTGGAAATTTTTATGAGATTATCAAAGTTCAGATGTCCTAACCTTTTGTGCCAAAGCACTGTAGAGTCTGACAGACTGTTGAAACAGTTCATACCAGCAGAGACGAGAATATAGCAGTTGTCAGATGATCGAGTTCCTTGAATAACACAATTCTCGTCTTTGTCTAATACTCGACATGCGAATTTGTTGAATCTGACTTCAAGATCTTGATCACATAGCTGGCTGATACTTATCAGATTTGACGTGAGTCCTTCTACAAGTAGTACATTCTTCAGCTTTGGCAGATTCTCATGATTTAGCGATCCTTTCCCTAGCACTTCACCCTTTTTTCCGTTTCCAAAGGTAACAGCTCCACCGGTGATTTGTTGATAGTTTTTCAAAAACTCTTTAACACCGGTCATATGTCGTGAACAGCCACTGTCAAAATACCAATCATTAGCAGTACTTGCTTTTAAAGAAGTAATCGCAGATAAGCATTTAAATGCTTTTCAACCCAAATTTTTTGCTGAGGTCTATTTGAAATATCAATTTTATTTTTGGGTTTTTGAGAGGGTGAAGAAAAATAATCAGCCCTAGCAGAGTAAAGAGAACGAGCCACAAGCTTTTTCACAAGTTTTAAATATTTGAAACATCTAGGACGTATGTGACCTGGATTTTGACAGAAAAAACAAGTGGGAATAAACCTTTTCTTTGAATTGTGTTTCGTTGCTTCAACAGTTGCAACTGTTTGTGAGACAGAAGCTTGTTTAACAAAGTTGATTTTTCTGTTTTGATCTTCCTTTCGCTTTAGATCAACTTTGGGTAGCTGACTCCCTCCTATGCCTAGACGATTATAGTTTGGCTTGTTGTTGCTTAAGATTTCATCTAGATTACCTCTACCCAAGTTCAATTTTGCAATTGCTTCTTGAGTTTGAGTAAGTTTAGCCTGCAAACTATTTTTCTCTTGATCACTAGATATGACCCTTTCCTCAAGAGTAGAGATTCTTACCTTTAGTGTTTTGTTTTCCTCTACAAGCACAAACTTCTCCTTGTCCAGGAAGTTATTTACCTTAACGACGTCGAGCCATTTTTGGTACATTTTTTCATATACCTCATTTACTTCGTCCAAGGTTGGTTCTTCCTCATCACTGCTGCTGTTCGGATCCTCTGCAAAAGAAGAATTTTCGTTTAGATTTTTTTCATAATCAGAACACATATTTTCATACCTGGATTCTGTTTCACAGTCTGTTGCAACAGTTGCAGCAACAGTTGATTCTGAGCTGTCCAGAGGAACTTTGCTGCTGAACGCTACAAAGTTAGTGACTTGATCGTTGTTTCCTTGGTCATCGTCAGATTCTTCTTCATCGCTCCAAACAGTAGTAAGTGACATTTTCTTCTTTTTCTTCAGGGTGTTTGCGCATTCTGATTGAATGTGACCAAAGCCTTCGCATTCTCGGCATTGTATTCTTCTTGGTTTTGACTCCTCTGAGTTATCTTGATTTGAATTTCTCCTAGAATTTTGAAAGTTCACGGGTTTCCCTGTGCTTGGAAGATTTCCCTTTTTTCCGATCTTTTTGAGAAATTTCCCAAAATTTTTCGATAGTAGTGCCAAGGATTCTTCAACTGTTTGCTCATCTTCTTGAGTTGACGAATTTTGGGGCGTTGCATATGATGTTTCTGCTTGAAAGGCTATCTTCTTTTCTCTAGACTTTTCACGATGATTTTCACCATGATTGAGTTCTTGTGCTAGAAGTTTCCCCATGAGTTCGTCTAATTTGAGCGTGTCAACGTCTCTGACTTCTTCAATGGCAGCAATTCGGTAAGCAAATCTTTCAGGTAATGAGCGCATCGCTTTTCTCACAAGTTTGCTTTCCGAATAGGGTTCACCGAGTGCGTATGATTCATTGGAGATATCACATAGTTTAGCATGGAAGTCAGTGATCGTCTCATTCTCCTCCATCTTCAAATTTTCGAATTTGGTGGCCAGCATTTGTAACTTGGATGTCCTTACAGTTGACGTTCCTTCGTATGTGACTTGAAGGATTTCCCAAGCTCTTTTTGCAGATTCACAAGACGCTATTAGTTTGAATTGATTATCATCAACACCACTAAATATTGCGTTTAGGGCCCTTGAGTTGTAGTTTGCGAGTAGTATCTCTCCATCATTCCAATCTGCTTCTGGTTTGAATACTTCCACTTTGTCTTCTCCTTTGACCATGGGAGGTGTCCAACCAGTTATGATGGCGCGCCATGCTCTCTCATCTATGGATTTGATAAACATCTTCATTTTTTATTTCCAGTATGAGTAGTTGGAGCCGATTAGGAGAGGTGGACGAGTAGTTGAAGATCCTTCTCGTTGAGTATTCATATCTGCACAAAATAAGAGTAATAAGTTCCCAAAATCTCACTAGATGTATTTAGTGACAGGCTCTGATACCAATTGTTAGAATTATTTCGTGCAAACTAATTATAAATTTGTGTCCAATAAATCCCAGATTCAGTTTTAGCTACTGTTCTACTGTTTTACGAAGAGTTGCAACAGTTAATGGAACAGTAATAAAAAGACACAAATTTTAAAGTGGTTCGGATACAATTGTACCCTACATCCACGGGGACCTGCAAATGAAATTCACTAATTTTTAGTTTTACGAATACAGTAATAGGACTTAATCGAAAATGCAAAGACTCCCTCTTTGTCGACGCCGTTCTTGTATCCTACGCTAAATTGTCAATCTTTACTTTTGCAGCACGTCCCTTTCCGCACGGTTGAAATTCCTTCAACGCTGAGTCCCTCAGTCGGCGGATCGACCTCCTCCCGAGATCTTCTGAATTCTCCTCCCGAAGAACCGATCTTCTTTTCGGTGAAAGAAGCAAAACCTTTCTCTGTATTTTCTTCTCGGATTACGATCAAAGGTCTGGGGCAGCAACGTAAGAGCAGAAAATATTTTTTTTCTCTCAAAAATAAAAGGGACAACGTATTACAACGTTGATGCTGCCCTTCTTATACTTCCTTACTTGAATTAGTGGAGCCCTACAAAATTAGAGCCCATTAGGTTAGATATAATCTTCACGTAAGGAACAAGGAGTTATGTAAACAAGGAAAGTCTTAGTCAAATAAATTCCTTGTTAATAAAACACTTAGGCAATTAAATAAATTAATGACAAAATAAGAGTTTAAAGAACTAAGGAAACTTCCCTAGTTTTTATACACGTTTTTCGCAGACGTGTTGAAAAACGTAAATAGAATCCTCTCGGATTCTAACATATACCATTTCGTTTTTCGTGTGAATATAAACACAATTGAGTGCATAGTACGAATGTAATGTAATGTGTTTGAGTGGAGCTATTTATACATATTTTTTTAACATAAAAAAAGTATTCACCTTTTATTAAGGAAATATACATAAAATCTTATAATTTCTAGAAGTGATTGATTAATTTATAATTAATACTTATACATATTTTTTTGACATAAAAAAGGAATTCACCTTTTGTTAAGGGAATATACATAAAATCTTATAATTTCTAGAAGTGATTTATTAATTTATAATTAATACAATGGATACATATAAAGATAATTATTGATTTTTTTTTCCAAATCTTGTTAAGCTGGCATAGTTTTATATACTTTAAACGATCAATTATATATACACGGGAGATTTTGTTGCAACCAAAAGATTTGTTTCTATTTACTTCTCTTAATTAAATGAAAAAGATAATTAAAGAAGGAAGTTAAAAAATGAAATAAATGAAAAATGTAGGATCAAAATTGAAGATGTCAAATTTTTTATTATATATTTATATGTTGTATTTTAAACAAATATAATTTATTGAATGCATATTCTAATATTATATAATTACGAAAATTAAAAACAAATGTATTTTTATTATTAAAATTAGTCTATTATTACAATGAAAAAAAATTCCTAAAATTTATTTGAATATATATAAAAAAAAATGGACATTCAAACAAATATATTTCGAAATTAAAAGTATAAATAAGATAAGTATTTTTCAAATTTAAATATAGATTAAATGCATTAGAGAATAAATTTATATGCGGTATAATAGAATAATTTGAAATACGCTATAATAGAAATTATATACAAAGAATATTGTATATTTATTAAATAGTTCAATTAAAAAATAAAAAATAAAAATTTATAATTATTTTTAATGGAATGGATATTCGAATATTCCAAAATATTGAAAAAAAAAAGAAAAAAAAACGTTCTCCTTTATTTTAATATTTTAATATTAAAAAAATATTTTTTTCTGAAAATTATTTGAATATTCGTAAAAAAATTGAGTATCATGAATTTTTTCAATAAATATATTTTGAAATACATGAAATGTAAATAAGATTTTTTTATTTTGAATTTAAAAAATATTAATTTTGGAAATAATATATATACACGTGGTAATTGTTTAAATGAGTGTATAAATGCTTAATAGGAAATAACTTAAATACATACCAAAATAAAATTGGCAACTCATCAATTGGAGAATCCACCTCATCAATTGAACTCCAACTAAGCAATTTTGATAAATGAAATCATCATTCGCCACATGTCAATCATTGAGGGCATAGATCCTCTTTTTATATAATATATAGATAGATTGATGAAATTCAGAATGCTTATTATTGTATTTTATTACTCTTCATTAAGTTTTTTCCAGGTTTTTACGAATTCGTTATGGGCACAAGGATTTCACCAAACTTTATTTTTTGTGTGTTCCCTTTTCATTGTTTATGTGTTAAAAAATGCAGTTTATGTTCATTCTGATTTTTCGTTGGTCATTATTAATTCGTTAAGATTTTTTGTTGTTCAGTCGTTTGCAGTTGTCAAAGGCTTATTTCATTTTCGTTAGTAATAATTTTTTTATGTGCAGATAGTATGTTTACGGAAAAACTACGGCTATATCTGTTAAAGAACCTACAAATTTCGGTATTTTTCCTGTCCGATGAAATGATTTGGTGGAATTCTCATTGTTGCATCTTTCTCAATATTTTCATCTACGTACGTATGTTAACTGATTTGTTGTAATCGAGTATCAATTGAGTAATACTAATAAGTTCTACTACTCAATGTGACAGACTTTGAAGTGTGCTATTCAATTTATACAACAATCATTGCCCGCTATAACGAAGAGAGTGGATTTGGGTCCGGTCTTCCTAAATAGAGATTCAACCGGAGCTGAACAATTGGATTAGCAATCCAATTACTTTCTTTTCTTTTGTTTCCCTGTCTCTCTTACAGTGTATCAAAAGAAATAAATAGCACAAATCTACTGTGTCTGAAATTTTAATGAATAAATTAGATGTTCTCAATACAGTGTTTGTATTGTTTTTGTTGTATTTTACTTAATTAACCGTTTTTCACCAATCTAACATTTATTGTCCTTTAATCGGATAATATATTTACTTAAAATCAACCAAGATCGATAGACGGGTGAGTTTCCCGTATCTATTTATAAAGATACGGGTATGAGCATCATAATTCTATCATATTGTTTTATTTTATATTTTAGTATATATTTCTATGATAAAATTTTCAGCATATACACTAGCGATGCATCGCACGGGTAGATTACTAGTATATATATATATATATATATATATATATATATATATATATATATAATACTTTTTATTTTATTTTTTAGCCTACCCAATTACATTATTTTATTCACTTACTTTTACTTCACTTAAGTCCATTTATTAAAAGCCGCCTTACTTCTCAACCCCTTTCACGTCTGACTTGTCATCATCTTCTATTTCCCAACTAAATTCTCGTTCTTTGAAAAAGAAAAAGAAAAACTTTGTTCTATCGCATCGTCGTACTAATGGTGGTTACATTGCTACCCACCGGTGATCGAACGCACACCGGCGATCAATTAACATTTGACGTCTTCTCTTTCATCTTACTTTTCATAATGAATATTAATTCGAAGTCCATTGTGTAATTTTTTTTATAATCGACTTGATATTCATGTTTGTTAGATTTTTATAGCAATTTAGCTTTCGCGATTCGTTTTGGTATTATCTTCTGAAAATGTAGAAAAAAAATCCATATCAAATTTTCATCTTAAATTTCTTTGATAGCAAAACACATTTCAGGGGCTCTTCCCCCGAACCCTCGATGTGTTCAAGCCCCCCCTCACAATAATTTTTTGCCTCGCTACAAGTTGTCGCTAGTTTAGTTTTGATTATGTTAACTAAGTTATTAAATCTAATTATGTTTAAGCTCAACAAGAAAGATATAGTTGATGATTTTGTTCTTGGTTTAATTTTTCAATCTTCTGGTATTAGGTGGTTCAATGCATTTGGTAAATTATTCAACAATAAAGTTATTTTCTTATTTTTCTTCTTATTATTATTATTATTTTTTTGTTGTAAGTATACTTATTTTACTAAGTTCCACTGATGAATTATTAATGAATGATTATAACAAAATTTTCATCATACGATACATCAAATGTTTGTTATATTCTTACAACATCAAAACATGCAATTTGTTGTCCCGTACATCGTACGGGTACAATTACTAGTCTTATTTACAAAAGAAGAGTTCCGAAGAAACCCTGTGAAACCCTAAAGGCATTTTTTCTCCCCCATTCGAAAGTTGTTATTATAGATATATTATTTAATATTTTAATAATTATTAATTCAAATTTTTATTTATATTTTTGGATTTCGTGGCTGGCCTAATTATTGGCGGTGAAATCTTATTGGCGGTATCTCTGTTTGCGGCAGATTTTCGTGAACCTGTACTGCTGTACATATCCTATTAGATTAGCATAATTTCGAAAATCTGTTATATTTACTGTTTAACTCAGCACATAATCAACATAAATCGAATTCTTTTTAAGGGGTTTTTTGCAAAAACCACCCCCGCGTTATCTCTAATTGTCGGAAAACCACCTATGATAAAATTATTAGCAAATACCCCCCTATAAAATTTAGTCAAGGTCACAAAACCCCCTGACAACTTTTCGTGTACCACACGCGCAAATTATGCGAATGGTGGTGTATTTTGCGTCAAAAAATACCCTTAAAAGTCAAAAATACCCTTAAAAGCATCAAAGGACTGAACGACGTCGTTTTATATCCTCTTCCCCATATATTCTGCAATTCCCAGCAAATTAGGGGTTTTGCTCGTCTTCTTCCCCAATTTCTCAGCAAATTTCTTCCCCAATTTCTTATTCTGCAATTCCCAGCAAATTAGAGAAATAATGTCTTCTCACACCTCAAGCAACGCGACGAAGAGAAAAGAACGCAAGCCGTATATGGATCTGAGGTATCCACTTAACCCATTTTGTTTCTGCAATTTGAAATCTTGTATAAGGGTGGTCGAAACTGCAACAAAACCATCAAAAGGAAGATTGTATTATTCTTGTCAGTTTCGTCAATGCCAATTTTTTCGTTGGTGTGACCCGTATCGAACAACTTGGGAACCCATTGGGGTGACTGTACAATATCCAGGTTGGGAATATGCTGAGCAAGGTTTGCCAGATGATATCGAAGAGCTAGATGAAGTGATTTCTAAAGCTAGCGTCGAAGAGAAAAGAGAAAACCATCGGCATGATCGAATCTTGTTGAAAATCTCATGGGTTATATGCGTAGCATTGTTCGCCATTGTTCTGGTGTTGTTAATGAAGATTTGAATTCTGGTGTTGTTAATGAAGATTTGAAACATTTAATCAATTTAATATGTTTTATTCAATGCAAGATATAATGTAGCGTTGTTGTTTATCAATGTAATATTGACAATGTTATTTATTCAAGTATTATTGAGAGTTTGAGATGTTATTTGTTCATTATTTGTTCAACTTTGCAATGGTAAAATTCTGTAAAATTCACAGTATTTGGTTACCAAATTAGCAAATAACCCCACATATAAACAAATATCAGCAACCACCCCCCTATGATTTGAAATGAATTAGCACATACCCCCCTATGTTAATGAAAATTGTCAAGTATCTCCACTGTTTTTTTCAATTTCCCTGTATTTTCCAGCAACAACCAATTCATATATCAACAATAACCAACAAACAACATCTAAAAATAAACAATAACAATAACCAATCCATAAAAAAAAAAAAAAAAAACCAATTCATACATCAACAATAACCAACAAACAACATCCATAAAATAAACAACAATATTTTTCAGAAACAGCCAACAAAAAAAAATAATGTTCAATAGACATTACAGGCTGTTACAATTGCATGTTCAATAGACAGCCAACATTTCATCAAACCATCACAGGCTGTTATGATTGCATCAAAAACCCAAAAATACCAGCAAAAGTCATCAAAAAACATATTCAACTTTCAACACAAGTCAAACTTTCCAAATGCGCTTCTTCTTGGCAGCCTCCCTAATATTATGAAGGACTTCGGATATTTGAGGCTTCCTTTTGCGCACAGGAGGGTTGCTGGAATTTGGAACATTTGGAGGAACATTAGCTGTTGCAATTGGAGGAACAGTTGCTTATGAAGTTGGAGGAACCGTTGGTACAACAGCAGGCACTCTTTGTGATTGATTTGTTGCCCGCGGTTTTTTGATTTTAATTTCTTACTTCTTCCTAGTAAACCCTCATTTCTTCTTCCCACATATACCTACAAGTGTAACCTACGAATTAGAAAAATAAATGGGGCAGAAAGAGCAGAAAGATAAAACAATTTTTAATGTTTCTAACCCTTCCTGGTGCAGCAGCAGGTGCAACAAAGCTAGATTGATCTTGAATGGAAGAACTTGGTTGAGTAGAAGATGGTGCAACAGAGCTGGAAACATTTGACCTTGGTGTAGAAGAGTGTGTTTGAACATATGTTGGTGCAACAGAGGTTGATGGTCCTTGACTGGAAGATGGAGGAGCACCTTGAGAATTTTGAACTTCCTCATTTGCAGGGTTTCCCTATCACAGACAAATAAACCAACAAATAACAATTAATGCTTGAAATCCTTTAAAAAAATTCAAGTAATTAAAAGGAAAAAAATTTATTAAAGCTACAAATACCTTGTAAAGTTTAGACCTTGGATTTGTAGGATTTTTACACGATGCCTTATTATGGCCTAGTTGTAGGCAGTTCTTACAAGTATGTGTGAGACCCTTTTTGTAAGAAGTGGTTTGAAGTTCATCTGGACCTCTTCTTCTCATTTTCTTAGGTCTCCCAGCTTTCTTGTTCAACTTTGGGGCTGCAAGTGGCTCGAAAGAGGTCTTGATGTAGTCTTTTGGTCCAGGGACTGCATGTATCATATATGCATAAACCTTCAAGTATGTATCTTTTTTATACCACGAGTCCACATAGTCCTCAACTCTATACCTCCTATCTGCAATGCAAGCCCATGCATGATGACAAGGATACCCATTTAATTGAAACAGTCCACATGTGCATGTTCTGGTAGCTAGGTCCACGACATATCTGTCATTATGAATATCCACTTCAAATTCTTCTTGTCCATGCCATCTTGGAAAACAATTTCTTGCAAGTTGTTGAGACTTGTTGATCTTTTTCAAGATATTAGGACAGATAGACCCTTCATACTTCTCCATTCCAGCCTTTTTTGTTTGAATTCTGCTTGTCAATCTACTTCTGATCCACTCAAACATGCTAATGATAGGCTTCTCTCTAGCCTCAAGGATGTAGCTATTGAAGGATTCACAGAGAATGTTTACTAACACATCTGTCTTGCAGCTTCTTGAGAAATAAGATCTGGCCCAATGACATGGAGGAATTTTTCTTAAATATTCTGCTGCAGCTTTATCAAACCTGCCAATCTCCACCATAACTGCTTCAAACTCATTCTTGTTGCCTGTGGAAGCAGCTCTCCATAACCTTGTTTTCAGCTCCAAAGCTGGCCATTTTTGCTTGAAATTCTGGTAGATGTGCCTCACACAAAACCTGTGATCACAACCAGGGGCAACATCTTTAATAGCTTCAAGAAGACCTTTTTGCCTGTCAGAAATGAAGGTCCATTTCCTTTCTTCAACACTTCCAATTTCTTCTAGCAACTCACCCAAAAACCATGTCCAGGATTCTCTGTTCTCAACTGGAACCACAGCTAGAGAAATTGGAAAAAGGTTATCATTCCCATCCCTCCCAACAGCACAAAGGAGCTGCCCTCCATGTGGTGCTTTCAAAAAACAGCCATCTAATCCAATTAGTGGCCTGCATCCTGCAAGAAATCCCAACCTCATTGGGGGAAGGCTGAAATACATCCTCTCAAAGATTGGAGGATCTGAATAAAGAATCTTTCTCAGCAATAACTTAGCACCAGGGTTTCTAGCTCTAACAGTTTCACAGTAATCCCACAGGAGACTATATTCTTGAGCATCTTGTCCCCTTATTTTGTTGAGTGCATTTTTTTTGCCCTCAAAGTCTTCCAATAGCCAGCTTCTACACCCACCTTTCTCATCACTGAGTTTCCAAGTTTGCATATTTCAACATCTGGATTGTCTTTAATGGAGTCTCCCATTCTCCTTCCAATATATTTTGCACTAGCATGCTTGTTAATTCTTTTCCTTGAACAGGTGTGTTCTCCAGTTAGTTTCTTGATCTACATAAATAAATTAAAAATACTTAATTAAAAAATAATACATAATAGATAAGTACATAAATATTACAAAAAAAAAACAGAAACCAAGAAACCATAATATAAAATAGAATAGTACACAAAAAATATAATATTTAAATACCTGAAATATTGGACCACCTTGTACAGCAGATGCATGGATTCTCCAACTACATTCTTTTTCTTTGCATTATGCAGTTATGAATCCCGCACAACTTTGGCACGCTAGATTAGGTCATGTCTCTTTAAGAAGGATGAACGATTTTGTTAGTGAAGGATTGTTCTCTTTGGATGACGTGAAATCACTACAAACTTGTGAATCTTGTCTTAAAGGGAAAATGACCAAGTCACCCTACAAAGGGAAAATGGAACGAGCCGAGGGTCTTTTGGATTTGATCTATACAGACGTATGTGGTCCACTAAGTGTTAGTGCGAAGGGTGGATACAACTACTTCGCTACCTTTACCGACGATTATTCTAGGTATGGGTATGTATACTTGATGAAGTACAAGTCTGAAACATTTGAAAGGTTCAAAGATTTTAGACACGAAGTAGAGAAGCAACTCGGACGAAGTATTAAGAAGTTGCGATCCGATCGTGGTGGAGAGTACTTGAGCATCAAGTTCATTGACTATCTAAAAGAGAATGGAATACAATCTCAATGGACTCCACCTGGAACTCCTCAACTTAATGGAGTCTCCGAACGTCGAAATCGAACTTTATTGGATATGGTTCGATCAATGATGGGGTTCACGAACTTACCGGCATACTTGTGGGGTCATGCACTTCGCACTGCCGCGTATTTGCTGAATAGAGTTAACACCAAAGAAGTTAAATCCACACCTTATGAACTTTGGCATTCCCGGAAACCCAACTACAAACATATTAGGATATGGAGTTGTCCCGCTTATGTGAAGCGATTAGTGGGAGATAAGTTGGATAGTAAATCCGACTTGTGCTATTTTGTGGGGTATCCCATAGACTCGATGGGATACGAGATCTATTATGTCGAGGCAAAGACGTTTGTTTCGAGAAATGCCACCTTTTTGGAAAGGGAGTTTCTATCCGATAGAAAAGGCAGCATGATAGAACTTGAAGTAATTGAAGAACCACAAAGTGAAGTTCAAGCGCAAGAACAAGTAATCGAACCAATACAACAATCCACTAATATACCTCCTGAACCTACGGTACGTAGATCCGAAAGAGTTCGGAAAATGCCGGATAGGTTATTCCTCCTCGAGAATGATGAAGATCATGATGATCTTGGACAAGATCCAAGAACATACAATGAGGTCGTATCGGATGCGGACATGGGACATCGGCTAACTGCCATGAAATCCGAGATGGACTCCATGTACTCCAACAAGGTATGGACCTTGGTAGATCCACCTAAGGGAATTGTTCCTATAGGCTGCAAGTGGATCTATAAGAAGAAAATTGGAGTGGATGGAAAGGTATCGACCTATAAAGCTAGATTGGTAGCGAAAGGATACACTCAAAGGCAAGGCGTTGACTATGAGGAAACCTTTTCGCCAGTCGCGATGCTGAAGTCCATTAGGATTTTGCTGGCCACAGTTGCGTGGTACGACTACGAGATATGGCAAATGGATGTGAAGACCGCCTTCCTTAATGGAGATATTGAGGAAGAAATTTACATGGCGCAGCCGAAAGGCTTCATATCTTCTGGAAGTGAGCAAAAGGTTTGCAAGCTCCAGCGATCCATTTATGGATTGAAACAAGCATCCCGTAGTTGGAACATTAGGTTCGACTCAACTACCAAAGAGTTTGATTTTGAGAAGAATCCGGAGGATCCTTGTGTATACAAGAAGGTTAGTGGGAGGGCAGTGATATTTTTAGTGCTTCACGTTGATGACATTCTACTCATTGGGAATGACGTAGGAATGTTGTAACAAACGAAAGCATGGTTGTCCACACGTTTCTCAATGACGGATTTGGGAGAAGCATCTTATGTATTAGGAATACGCATCTATAGAGATAGAGCAAGGAAGATGCTTGGATTATCTCAAAGCCTGTACATAGACACCGTTATGAAACGGTTTAGCATGGAAGAATCAAAGAAAGGATTCTTGCCAATGTCCCATGGGGTTCGTCTCTCGAAATCTATGTGTCCGCAAACACCTACTGAAATCGAGGAGATGAAAAGGACGCCATATGCTTCTGCCATATGAAGCATAATGTATGGCATGCTGTGTACGAGACCCGATATTGCGTATGCTGTGAGTGTCACAAGCAGATATCAGTCTAACCCCGGCCCGGCTCACTGGAAGGCCGTGAAAGATATCCTCAAGTACTTACGAAGGACTAAGGATATATTTTTGGTTTATGGGGGTGCCGAGTTGAAATTAGAGGGTTTTACCGACTCTAGTTTTCAATCGGATGTGGACGACTCAAAGTCGAATTCGGGATTTATATTCACACTTAATGGTGGTGCCGTGTGTTATTAGAGTTCCAAGCAAAGCACGACGGCCGATTCCACTACCGAAGCGGAATACATTGCAGCGTCCGAAGCTGCAAAAGAAGGGACTTGGATAAGGAAGTTCATCCAAGAGTTGGGTGTCGTTCCTAATGCTAGTGATCCAGTACCGTTGTACTGTGATAACACCGGAGCCGTGGCGCAAGCTAAAGAGCCGCGATCTCATCAGAAGTCGAAGCATATTCTGAGGAAGTATCATGTGATCCGAGAGATCATTGATAGAGGTGAAGTTAAAGTAGAACGAGTCACCTCGGAAGAGAACGTTGCAGACCCCTTCACGAAGCCTTTACCGAGATCGGTCCATGAGAAACATCGAGAGTCGATGGGATTGCGATTCATGGGTAGTTGGCTTTAGGTCAAGTGGGAGATTGTTAGAGTAGGTGACCAACAAGCCAACATGTGGCTGTGGTCTTTCGTATTTATTATTGTAAGAAACGAACCTTTATTCGTATTAATGATAAAAGACCTTGGCATACTATTGTTAGAGTAGGTGACCAACAAGCCAAGATGTGGTTGTCGTCTTTCGTATTTGTTATTGGAATAAACGAACCTTTATTCGTATTAATGATAAAAGACCTTTGCATTCTATATCTTTGTCCCTTTGTCACAAGCATAGATATAGTCCTTACAGTTATTACAAGTACTAGTAATTGATCGTTAGGATGGTGAGATATTTACTTAAGTATTATAACTGTTAAACGTGTTCCTAGTCAAAGGGTTACGCCACCAATGAGGATATCGGCCTTTCCCATTAAGAGACTAGCACTTAGTGTATGTGTACTGCATCTCATCAGTAAACGGTATTGTGATATCGGCATGCATAAGTGGGTGCTCGTAAGTTGACGAGTTCACTGAACTCCCTCACCCTAGAAATCTCTAAGTGGTTCCCAATAATCGAGTACAGATATCTATGGTATAGTTGTACACCATTAGTCCTTATGACCTAGACATCACCGTGACTTCACTAGAGGAACAGCTGTATCGTGACATGTCCATGAGTTCCACCGAGGACCATCCCAAGGGCCAGTGTTCGTGCAGTCCGAAATCTAGTGGGAGGTCTGTGCATTGTAGTCGGGGATTCGATCGCTAGAATAGTCTTGGATGTCCTGTGTGTTGTGTTCTGATAGTTTGTAATCATTCTAAGTCTCTGGCCAGAGCTGACTAAGTGATGATTAGAGAATTCGGTTCTCTAAGTCCTGCATGTAACGATTACAACACTTAAAACCCGATTTCAATCGGGACATATGAATCGAAGGGATCGTACTGTACGTTAACTATATTTGAAGGTTCTTGCAGGCACTTCATTTGTATATAGGGAATCATGACGGGTAGTTGCTAGACGCCAATCTTGATTCATTGGGTGATTAAGGTGAAACGAGATTCATCTTAATCGTAACTCTATGGGACGAGTTTTGACCACAAAGGGTTGTGGGCCCACGGCTAGCTTACACCTGAACCATCGAGGGTCACACTGCTCGTGCACATGAGATCTTTGAATAAACGGTCGAAGGTAAAATAGTTTATCTTTGCATGATTGGTAGTCAATATGATTGGGTCCAACATTCGTAATTTGGAATTATGAATGAGAATGAGAAAAGGAAAAGAATGGGCAAACGTATTAGTGAACTTTCTAAATCGGGCAAACGTATTGGAAATTGATATTTGGCACTCGTAATGACGAGGACATTATAATGATTTCGAAAATGTAATCGTTACAATTTTCCGATCATTGAGATGAGAGAGACGAGCAAGTAAAAGAACTAACGAACTTAAGCTGTTGGGCCCGATCCAACTTAAGCCCGCTAGGGTTTTATGCGAGACACTATAAATACAAGATTTATAGGTCTTACACAGACACAACACAAAACCCTAACCCTAGCCGCTCACACTTTCTCTCGCTCGGCCATCTCACCTCGACCGCCGCGTCGTCGTCGCCGGAGAAACGCCGGAATCGGCCATCCGTTGGCCGATCCCTTTCGGTATTCTTTTCCCACTTTCTTTTCTTCCGTTATTTCTAACTATTACGTGTCTAGTGCCACGTGTTTAGTAGATCGAAGTATACGAGGTGAAATCCGAGAAGAGGAAGATCGAAGATCGAAGAATCGAGGAGCAGCACACGAGCCGAAGCCGCACGCAACCCCACGCGCCGCCCGAAGACCGCGCGTGAGTTACACGCGCCGCCGTGGGCCGTCTCGCCGCTGCTGCCGCTCCACCGGTGCTGCCCCGGATTGTACGGATTGGTTTCCGTAGCAATCTCGTCTTGCTTAGTGCGCCTACCTCACGGTGCAAGAGGTAAACTCACGAATTCATTGTTCTTGATTCGTTTATGTTTAAATAGAATTTTCATGTTCGTTCTTGTATGATTTTATGTG